TTTGTGCCCAGGCCTACGATTTGTGGCAAAAAAAAAAAAAGTAATTGTGTCCCGAACAATCTGAAGAAGTAAACAAAAAATATATTACAATCGTATACAAATTTCTAACGAATGTTGGGAAAACAAAACTTAAAAAAAAATTTAGACTTTAAATTCGGTAAAACTTACAATTGTTAAGACTAAAAAAAGCAGTCGATGGCCATTGAAAAAGATGTGATAGTGATTGACATTGTAGGATAGATCCGCCGTTATGTGAGTAAAATGTTGAAGAAATATAAATGGAAYAGGGGTAGGGATTTTTMACTTGAGAAGATGTTGATGAAAACAAAACGGAGATTAATGAATGATGGATCACTTTTTGAGTTGTAGTTTAAATAGAATGTGAGATTGACAGTTGCCAAAGATAGAGAGTTCGTGGGATTGACACGTTATTTTTTTATGGTTTTTTTGTTTCAATTTTGAAGTGTAGGAAATATATTAAAAAAAAAAAAGAGGTTGGGGGAGGAGATCGTGGTTTTGTGTGGAAGATTAGTTGAGGTTGAGGGCCTTGAGGCATTGAAGAGATTAAGCGAAACAGTAGATTTTTTTTTTATATATAGTTATGATTTATAAAGCACAAGCCATGTGGCGTAATATGATCGGCCATATTTAGTATATTAAAGATGAACCAACCTACCATCGCTATAGTCTTACGTACTCTCAATCTGTTTAATTTAAAAGAAACAATACGTATACTATTTATAGAGTTGAATCTCTATATATTTCCTTAACAACCTAATTAGTTTTTTTTTTTTTTTTCAAACTAACAACCTAATTAGTTAAAGCGCAGTTGACGAACGTATACAAATTGTTCCACCAATCCGGAAAATTCATAGTTTGATACTACGTAATGTACCATGATACCATCAAAACAAAAAATTATCCGAACGTGACCTTTAACCCAAAAGTTTATTTACTATGATTTATCAAAAAAAAACATTGTTAGATATGTTGGTTCTGTAATCCTACCGTCTTTTCTAACCGTTGATTCTAACCGCTTTGTTTCAAAACGATTCACTATTCAACCGTTCAAAAACTTTTAACCGTTCGTTTCAAACGGAGTCACCAATCGAATCCATTTAAAAAGAATTGTGCAAATGGCTGGTGGTCGTATACAGTGCGCTACTGTATACAAGTCGTACATATTGATGAAAGAAACCAGTAAAAGTTTCGAAGTTGACATCGATGGTTGATTAGTCTTTAATTGTAGATAACGATTACACTGTCTCTGCCTTTACCTACATACAATAATTTTTGATAAATGTTGTTCCAAACTATAGAGAATAAATCAAACTAATTATAGAGGCACGACTTTGAATTTTTTTATTCTTCTTCTTTGGTTTAATAGACTTTTATAAATCCGATTTGAGTTTAACTTCCATA